AATAACCCCATGCAGCAGGACAGGCTGGGGGTTGACCTGCTGGAAAGCAGCTCAGCAGAGAAGGACCTGGGAGTGCTCATGGACAGCAAGTTAAACATGAGACAGCAGTGTGCCCTTGTGGCCAAGAAGGCCAATGGTCTCCTGGGGTGCATGAGGAAGAGTGTTGCCAGCAGGTGGAGGGAGGTGATCCTGCCCCTCTCCTCTGCCCTGGGGAGGCCTCACCTGGAGTACTGTGTCCAGTTCTGGGCTCCCCAGTCCAAGAGAGACATGGCACTCCTGGAGAGAGTCCAGCGGAGGGCTACCAAGATGATGAGGGGACTGGAGCGTCTCTCCTATGAGGAAATGCTGAGGGAGTTGGGCCTGTTCAGCCTGGAGAAGAGAAGACTGAGAGGTGATCTCATCAATGTGTACAAGTATCTGAAGGGGGGTCCTGAGAGGATGAGGCCAGCCTCTTCTCCATGGTGCCCAGCGACAGGACGAGAGGCAATGGGCAGAAACTGACCCACAGGAAGTTCCATCTGAAGCTGAGAAAACACTTCTTCACTGTGAGGGTGACAGCATTGGAACAGGTTGCCCAGAGGGGTAGTGGAGTCTCCTTCGCTGGAGATATTCAAAACCCGTCTGGATGTGATCCTGGGCAATGTACTCTAGGTGACCCTGCTTGAACAGGGAGGTTGGACTAGATGATCTCCAGAGGTCCCTTCCAACCTAAACGATTCTGTGATTCTGTGAACTGAAATTAGATGCCTGTATTCAGGGCTTGGATTTTTTTTGTTCGTTTTTTTGTTTCTTTACTTTCATGTAAGTTCAGTTTCATTTTTACAGTCTTGAAATACACACATTGTTATAGATTAACTCATTGTCTCCTTTAAGATACTTCATTAGTAAATACTTCTGAGTAAATTGAAAGCCTTTTTTCCAGGGTATTACATTCTAACTCATGTCAATGAGTTAGATCAATCATATGGTTAATCACAACTACACTTTTAGGCAAGTAGTTGAGAATTTTAGCACTATTATTTCAGTATATTCATAAACACATACCCATTTCCATTCAGTACCTTAATTTTTTTTTCATCCATAGATTCCTGAATACGCTGTCTATGAGGTTTTGGAGATGATCCCCTGGATTGTAATGGAGATCTATATTAAAAGGAAGTAAGAAGTAATTAAACCATGTAAATGCAATTAGTTAAGAAAAATAATGGCCATATCAGGTTCCTCAGAAACAGGAAGGAAAGGAAGCCAAGCATCTTCTCTCTCCAGCCTTACTTTTTCCTCTTCTCCTCAGTAACCACATGTACTTTGACAACTGAGGACAGCATAATGAAATTGGACTTAACAGTTTCAATTACTGGTATCATTTTACAGTTGACGTTTACAATATTGTAGCTGCGCACACAGTGTTATTCTTTGCAATGCTGGTGGTGAGTTACCAAGTCACCATTCTACCTCCACTCCCTTGAATAGCATCTGGCTGACATAGAATAATTTTCCTCCTATTTACATACTTTTCAATAGAAGCATTCATACAACCAACTGAATGGTTCCACTCTCCTGTATTTCAGCATGTGAATAGTTGCATACATTGATTAAGAAGTTTGATGAATATAAAAGGGCTTTTTTGCTCTTGAAATAAAAAGATCTAATCTGTTTCTGTAAATAACAACTTTCCAGTTTATCCTCACAGTTGGCCAGTGTGCATATGAACACAACTGCTTCATTTCAAAAGAAACTTTGTAGGTGCCTCACTAAAGTTTGTTCTTTATTTTATTTATTTCTGTTTTTCTGTGGTGCAAAATTTCTGTAGCACCTTACAAATTTTGCCATTTAAATTGAAAAAATACGTAACTTCTTCAGTTTAACATGCTCCCTTCTGTTTTGTTTTTCTGTTTCATGAGTCCTCTTTGAAACCTGTAATAACAGAATCCTCTATATCCCATTTTTCCAATATCTGATTTAATCTAAAAGTTTATTAAGACATATAAGACATAAGAGTTAAAAACAAGTAAGAAATTTTCTGCTAAATTTTAGAAGAAATGCTCTAATTTAACCTCAATCTCCATCTGAAAAGTAACGCCTCTCTCAAAATGACCAGATCCTAGACAAAATTGCCCACAAACTTTAAATATATCTTGGGATCCTTCAGTAAGAAGTCTCTAGAGATGACAAATAGTATTGTGAAAATTCACAAAACACTAAAGTAACTGCCACGTGATCAAAAACCATAAAACAATAACTACCATGTAATGTGATCAATCATCTGATATACAGAATCTTAAATTAGCCAAAAGAATTTGAAAACCACAGTGAAGTTTACTGCCAAACATACTTCCATTTATCCAGTAAACTGTTCTAGACTTATTATTAATAATATAGATTGGCAAAAGATGGAAAGCATTGCAGATCAAGTATTTGAGAGAGAAGCATTAACAAAAAAAAGTGCTGCACCTCAGAGGTGCCTGTTATGTCATGGAAAAACAAAGTGACACCTCAAATACTATTCTACAGAATATTAAGACGTTCAGCACTTCTAAAGCACTTCTAATTGGAGCCTCAGAGTAAGCCTCCTATAGAAATGTAGAATATTAAAATATTTGAAAAATTAAGAAAAGAAAGAAATTTGCAAGTTTAATACATTTCATCTCAGTTTTTGCAAAGTTTTTTTTTTTTTTTATTTCCCCTAAAACAATTATTTAGGACCATAAACTCAAAACTTCAAATAAATTACTTCTAAATTGATATTTTTAGTTGCAATCACACAAATGATATTAAAAATTTGATATACTAGAAAATAAAAATTAACCACTATACTATAAGTAGTATGGAACCCCTAAGTTCTTCTACTCTGGAGGTCCTCCATCTTTCAGTTTAGGACCCATACACAGAGGTGATAAAGTTCTTAAAAACAAGAGTAATTTACTGTTGCACAGTGGCTTAGGTGCCTTAGTCATCTGTATTGCTAAAGGCCTTATATCTGCAACCCTCTTGCCTGCTCTCCACTCACAGCTCTGTATCTTTTCACCCAAGCTGCTGGGGCAGTGTTTTCAGAGATGCTGTGGCAGTATTTTCTCCTGTTGCTCTCACCTCTTCTTCCCCACTTTTCACGTGCTCTAGCTGTACCTAGAAAAACAACTGGTCATGCAGCCCCTGCCCTGATCAAAGCATGCTCCAGTCAGCACTAATGGCACAGTAAACAGAAAGAACTAGCAGCAGGTTTGAGCAGGTCCTGAGGAAAACCTGTATAGTTACTCTGAGAGAAGTATTACTGGGGAACCAACTACTGCAGTGCAGAGGATGCCCAGGAGAGGACGCTTGTCTGGTTGCAACCCTGGTTGCTTCTCTTCCCAACTGGTCCCAGGAAGAGCTCTCCTCTTCCTCTCCCATGTCACTCTCCTCCTCTGCTCTCCTCTCTCTTCCCCTCCACTCCCACCTCCCCTCTTTCACATTAAGGGTTTGTTGGTCATTCAGTACGAGGTCCTTTCCAAAAAACAAAGCCCAAAAACCTTCCAGTACTGACCTGAAGAGTGTTAAAACAGAGGTAATTCCAAACAAAGTTAAGTTTTCATCACCATATAATAGTTCTGCTTTATTTTGGGTAGGAGGATTGGCAGCTTCTTCATCCAGAAGGACTAGCAAGACCTTTACCGTATCTCTGCCACAATATACAGTGCCATGGTTTATGGAATGTAATTTTGGCTGAAAAGAAATAAAATTAAACGGAATGTAAAACAGGAAAAGTCAATAAGCCAGACTAATAGCTCACCTCCAGAAGCAACCCATACCAGGAGAAAGTGCAAGAATCCCCTCCTCCCCTTTCTCAGTAAACATTTATGGAGTAACTTGCTCATAGAGAAGTTTCTTCCTCATCTCAAGCAATTAAGAGTTTAGATCATTGCCAGCTGGAGGCATAAATTCATTGCCAGCTGGAGGCATACATTGAAAAGCAAGTCACACAGATAAATATTCAAATCTGTGATGAAACCATGCAGCAGAAATTAATGTATTATTTCCTCACAACAAACTTGAGTGCTGTGGGGCACACAAGCTCATTTTGGTGAAGTCCAGTTCCTCTAATTGAATCTGCAAAAACAACTGGTTAAAAGGGAGATTTCCACCAAGATTTGACAAGAGAGGTACTTGGCACAATCACCCCAAGGTTGGAATAGAATGAATTCCTCACGATTTTCCACAAGAATAAAGAAGTCCTTAAAGAAAATAACCACCCACATCTGGAAATGCTCAATGCTACAGTGAGCAGTACAGATGAAGAACTTCATAGCCACTATGGGACTGCAAGAATTGCAAGTTCGCTACATTTTTCTTTAAAAGAACTAAGAGCTCTATAGAGGAATTTAGTGCTTAATATACAGTAGTAGATTCTAAGAACCACAGGCTGTCTTATTTACCCATACACAAAAATATTTAACAGCCTAAATTTGTCCGGAAGGACAAGACAAGCAACAAACGGCATTTATCTAATCAGTTAACTCCTTTTAAACATGGTCTTGAAAAGATCTAATGCTATTTTCCTCTCTATTTGATTACATCAATTAGTGTATGTAGCTTTCAAGAAACCATAGCAACATGTCAGTCAGATACTATAAGTTATAATCAATAGCTAGAAATAGCTATTACAGAAATGGTTGTTACATAGTTTAAGAGAATTGGCCTATTTCAGTACCATTTAATTTTCAAAATTTATTCTGAACCACTTCAGTCATTACATCGCCACATCATAGACTTTTATAAAAATGTCATGTGTGTCATGGTAAATTTTTGTCTTAACGAAAAAAAGGAAAAAAGAAATATGGCATTATCTTGACTGATTACATACAAAGCAAGAGAAGAAAAAAAGCCAACACTTTAGAACATAACATTCCCTCCTAACTGCCAAGAGGTGACCTTCAGAAACCTCACATATTGCTACAACCATAGCTTGGTATGCTAATCATGAAGTAAAACCCTATTGTCCAAGGCACTATAAGAACTTTGGATAAAATAACAATCCTTGCCACAAAAAGGTTGCTGCTTAAACTAAAACTCCTGGTTCAAAATATTTTTTCAGGAAAGTTGTTGATTAGTTTAAGGGTAGTGAGCAGTGAGCTACTCCAGACTATTCTGGTCAATTCCAGAAACACTAACTAGATTTCATTTACAATAATAAGTTTCTCAGGAAGAAACTAATCACAATTCCTATTAGTCATTCATGCACGCTTCACCAAAAAGCAGTCTCTCTCTTTCATAAAAAAATTATTTTTTCTAGAGCTGTAGATTCCTACGAGATAGATACTTGCAGGAAAACTGAGCAATGGTGGAAGAAAGGAATCAGAAAAAAAGGAAATATTTTTCCAAAAAAAGACTATTTTCAGGTACATTTTATGGGGAAGCAGCCTTTCCAGCAGCTAGTGGAAGCATCATTTTCAGCTGTATAATTAAGATCAAATTTTAAATTTGCACTTAAAGAAGTGATTCAAAAATATAACACCCTGCCAAAAACATAACTTACTCTGAGTACACAATGATTTTTCTGAAAAATTCCAGCATCAGGGTTTAGTGTTTTCTTTCTTCTTTTAAGAAAAAAAAAAAAAGAAAAAAGTTCTACACAAAACTCAGCATGGAGCATTAGATCTTTGCTGTCCTATGGGATTTTAACAGAACAATACAGATGCTCCAAATATCCCATATAGCTCAAATTCATTCTTAAAAACCTACAGAAAAAAAAATTTTGAAAATCATTAAGGGCAACCTATCTCTCTGTATGCTGTACAGAAAGCTCCAACATCTGAAATTTGATGTGTCTAACATTTATCTATATTCTGTCTTTGAGTGAGCATTAGCAATCTCAAGCCAACCAGCACATCAGTCACATCTGGACTGTAAACATGTCTGATGGCACTCAGTTACATCCACACTGTGGCAAGTATGGTGAGTATGGACATCCTATTATGAGTACAGTCAGAAGGATGAGCTTAATGTGCATCATGCTCAAGTTTCCTCAAAGAACTACTACAGTACAATCCACCCATCCACCAGCAGATGAGATGCTCCAACAATGAATGCACTTAAGAATAAAATCAGGAAAACTTCAACATAGAACTACAGATTTACATAAATATAATTAAGTTCATAGGCTGCCTTCATATGCTTATTTTGAAAAAAATATCAACTTCACACTGCTCTTAGTGAAAATAAGTATTTATCCACATTTCCTGACTACATCAGAATACAACTGAATAATATACAACAGAATAACTTTATCTCAACAAGGATACTGGTACATATTCCCAGAGTTATTAAACTATGAACTTCACCTGTGGAGAACAATAAGAAACATCTACCCTTTTGGAAAGGCAATTGTAGGTGAATTTCTCTAAAGGAAGAAGTTTCATTAAAGGAGTTTTAAAATAAAGAATTAGATCAATATCAGTCAGGTAAAATTTTATCAAGAATACAAGCAAGTGGAGAAATCGAGAAAGAGGTAACTGATACGGTGATCATGCTTTCGGAAAGGAGCAGAGAAAGTGAAAGAAAACTGATAATGTGTGTAAAAGGACATGGAAGGAAGATGTGAAAGGGAAGCAGAGAAATATAGGTGATAAGAGATTCAGGAAAAATAGGAAAGTGAGGTTGAAATATGTACTCCAGTTATTCAGCATTGCTTAGTGGAAACACCTTTAAAGTTGTACTAGCCACTAGAGTCTGACTGGTAGCTCCCACAGAAAAGCAAGAGCATATTGGAAGCTCAATATAAAAATCTTTTAAAAATCTGATGTTACCATGAGGTAATTCAAGCGATTAGACAATAGAAAGCGTGCTAACTTTGTAAACACGTTTACAGTCCCTACAAGTTCTTAAAAGTTTCCTAGATAGAAGATATACCTGTCATTAGACAACATGATTTCATATATTTACAAACAATGTAAAATAAAATACTTAACCTTGTTGGAGTTTTATCACAAAAAAGGTCATGATACAAACCTGAGTAGAATGAAAGCAAAGAAATTAGAAATAGAAAGCTTGCATTCTATTCTCCGCACCTGACTTTTAAAGAATGTCAAACTTGTATTCATGCTTTTACTACCAAGGAAGGAATCATAGTTTCATTGCTGTCTTGAAATGCTAAAGAGAAACCCTAAACTTAGATTTTTTTTTTTTAAATATATCCTCTCATCCCCATATTTTACCATATGTTGGACTTTCTTCACATTAAATTTTATTTTGAATTTCTTACCTTTAGATATATCTGATTCTGAGTTAAAAACTATCTAATTTACCAATATGCGTTCTCAAATCCTAAATCCACTTTCACAGGGGTTTTTTTTGTTCAGAAATGTTACAGTTCTACTGTCTTCAAATTAGTGGCAAATCAGACAGTTTTAAGTATTTACATCTAGAAGAGCTGCAAGAAAAAATTACATTCTGAAGAGTATTTTATTTACAATTTTGAGGTAATAAGTTTAGTTTAAATAAATCAGCTTTTTGAAATCCACACTACAATCCTCAAGTATCCAAGTGTTTCAACAAGTCAAAAAGTACAGTGTAGAAGAAATGACACTGCTCTGAATTATTAATAAGATACTATACTCCATTTAATGTCCTTTAAGAAGAGAAAAATAAAACAACAAAACAAAATAGACATTTGCTTTCTTTTAAAGCTAAGTAGTAAAAAGAACAAAAGAAATTCCCATTACCCGTGCTGGACTAAATCCAGTGGTGCTGGCAGTCAAGACGTCATGTTGTGAATCGATAATATTTTTAATCTTCAAATCCCAATCTTGTACAACTTCCTCTACTGCTCGACAGAAAGGATCCCCATTGCTTCGGCCTTTTATCAAATGCATCTTCACTGTTGACAGAATTCGCCCCCCTGCGATTCTGAAAATAGGCACGGGGTCATCTCCGTGCTAATCTTGGCAGTGCTTTAGTATACCTATTAACATTGAATATAGCCAGTCTTCACAGTTTATCAAAAAGATCAAAGCTGTTCTCTGAAGAGTTTAAATTAAACAGCAGTGTAGAAGTATTGTCCATTATAATAGTTTACTAAAAAAAATAAAGATTATACAAAAGGTAATGAATTCAGCATTTAGCAATACTCTGAGCTACAAAATAAAATCAACTTTTCCATAAAAGTTCAAAGAAAAGTTCCTCCTTTAAACCTCTATATTACTGTGTTGCTCATAAGCCATGAGTGTGAACATAATGTTTCAGTAGAACTCAGATTTTAATTTAACCTAGTAATTTTTTTAAGTCTTTTGTGCTTCATGAAATGCTTCAGAATACCAATCTACTTTCAATTTTGTTAAAGTAGATAGCAATTAGACTAAATGAACCATCACTGTTTACCATAAAGGATATCGCATTAATTTCTTCTTTCATCAGCTAGAAAAAAATGCATGCAGAAAAGATCATATACAAATATAGTAGTCTAAATATGAAATGTCCATACAGTCTGACATCAAAATTATGCAGAATCAAATTTAATTTATATCGGGGCTTTATTTCAACTCTTCTAATAGAAAGATGAGAAGGTATTATGAATGCAGCTAAACTATCGGTTTGGACTGCTCATTTCATGGTCCTGTACCTTGGATCATCCGCACTGTAGATTACTTTTGGGATCGCTTTTGGATTAAAACTACCAGGTGTCTCCCCAGCATAACCCTGGAGCAACTAGCAGTTGTAGTAGTACAGAGGCTGCTCCAACAGGCAATACAGGCAGAACTATACCATGTCTCATTCCCTCAGACTTGTAAGACTTGTATTATCTATAAAAATGGAAATACGACTGGCTGTCATGTAGACCTCTCACCATGGCTATGTAAAAAAAAAAAAAAAATCCATTCTTAAAGAATCACAAGAAAATTCGAAGTTTTTAGGCCCAAAGAACGCCACAGGGGACAAAGATAAGCCCAAGGCCCATATGACAGCATGCCTCAAAATAACCCAGACCTGGAGAACAGGGAGAAGCAGTTTAATTCCAAAAATTTTGCTGGCATCTTTCCACTCAGAGGCTGAAAACACTGCCCTAAACAATGCTGCTCAAAATAAAAACCAAAATAACTTAAAGCTTATCATTACAGTTAGCATGGTCACATCACAAGAAAGGAGAAAATAAGTGTTATGAGTGAATTGCATAGCATGCAAGAGTAATGTGTGGAAACAATCAAAACTAAAATATTAAATAAAGGCTTAAAAGCATCTAGAAGATACTTCTTGTTAATGTTTTGTATTTCTGGAGGTAAGAGATCATTTTATCACTGCTTCGGTTTGGACAGATAAATCATTAGAAGAATCACTCAGCTCTTCCACATCATAACACATCCCTTCCTCAAAGCTTTCTGAAAGTTGTTTGTTGTTTGGAAACTTGATTATCATTTCTCTGGTCTTCTCAGAACATACATTATCTAGACTCAAAGTTAATTATACTCAAGATTTTTCCCTCCCCACTCCAAGTAATCACATATCTTCTCATTTAAATAAGAACTTCAGTAGTGCCACAAGACATTTTGTCATTTATTTCACTTTCTGCATACTTTCTCAACCTCTTCAGTATGTAGTATTCTGTATTTTCCTTATAGCTATACTTTGTTTTAGTTAATTCCCTCTCCTTTTACTTTTTCATGCACAAAGTTATTTTCACCCTTGAATAACACCTGATAATAGACACAGGAATAAAGAAACAAAGAAAATCATAACAAGAGGCAGGAAGGATATATTTTTTTTAGAAAACAATTCATACAGAAAACTTATCTCCCTCTCCCTCCAAAAAAGCCAGAAATTAGGAGAATGAGACAATACTTGCGAGAAGCATCACGTAACATTTAGTTTGTTGTTACAGGGCACCTATCTATTGCCAGTGTGGGAGACAAGATACTTTGTTCAACAGGCACTTTTTCTATTCTTAAAAAAAAAAAACGTAGATTCTGTGCAAGAAAAAACAGACTCTCAAAAACAAAATGAAAACAAGCAAAAATCAGCTTTCCAGTCACCACTTTCTTCATAAAAAAAATCCCCAATGCAGCTCTTTTAAACCTGTGATACTAAGTTCAGCTAAGACATTGATCTCTTGTTAGAGGTAGTTTTTTCCTTGTGTATGTGATTCCTTGCTAGGTGCAAAAGCAGCTACTGTTGTGCTGACTCAGCACAGACTTGCCACCTTGTACGTATATCTTTCAAGATTCAGTTTTATAAAGCTAATATGCCAGCAACAGCAATTTGGTTCATCTGGAGTTCCTGCTTGAAGAGTTCTTCCTCTACAGTTATCCTGCTTCAAGATCTGTTGCAATAATTTATCTTCCCTTTTTAATCAACCTACAGTTTCCCTTTTTGATCAACCTACAGTTTCCTTCTCCAACTTGAGGAAACACTACCTGCGTTCCTGCAAAAACTAGTCATTGTACAGCATGGCCAAATCTAAATCTCATCATCTGATAAGAAAGAAGTAGACTGTTAAATCTTCTCTGTAACTTCAGAATTACTGATGTTTTACTTTGTTTTTTTATGGTTAAATTTATAATCCAAATAAAAGCAGAAAGGCAGCATTTTAAGCATAGCTTAATTCCAATCTGTCTAGCTCAGATAACAATAGTATTGGTGTTACCATACCACAGGCTAAACAAAAAAAAAAAAAACCCACACACATTCAATATTTATTTGCATGTCCTGAAGTCTGAGCTGCTATTGGCACTTAAGGGAGAAATTTCAGATGTTTCCATGATGCTGCAAATCACACCTCTGCCAAACATAACAAAATCACCCAAAACAGTGCTAATGCCTTTGATGCTTTAGGTGACATAGGCAAAAGCAAGGTGATTGCTAATATTTCAACTTCCTTCACGCTCAATAGCTCCTATCTACTTCTCTTAAAAGGATATCATGTGAACTCAAAGACAATTGCATTTTGTACATACTCAGTTCTGAAGCAGAATTTTAGAATTCCAGCTACAAGTGTCTCCATTAAATGGAACTCTGTCTATCTAGATTCATACTCCAAAATGTAAAAGAAAGGGGCAGAGCAAGGGAACGACAGGGACTGAGTCAACGTAGGAAAACTGCTTTGTTTATTCTGTTTTCTATTAAACTACATGGAGGGAATGAGGCCAGAGATCTTGCTGCTCTGCGTTACTCTGGCTGAAAAAAATCTCCTGTAAATAAATTAGAGACCCTGAAGCCAACTTGAAACTTCTTTGCCTTTGTCCAGGTACTCAGACCCAACTATTGCCACACAATTCCAAGTTTCATCTTTTAAAGATTATTCATTTAATAATAGTAAAATACAATCCCACTCACATTAAGTTTGTGGAATCAGTTAAAGAAAAAAATTCAGCTCTGCAAAAGTTTAACGCATGCACTTAGCCAAAAGAACAGTCGTTACGTGAAGTCTCTCTGCACACAGGTTAAGAACTATCTCATCTTAGAAAGGATAGTATAAAGAAAAAGAAAAAAGGAGATGCTGGTATACCACTGTCAAGAGGTAAGAAGAGAGCATTGCTGAAGAAATTTGTCTCAGAGATACATATAGGAACTGTAGCCAAGTCTCCTGACACTTCTTGCCAAACTGCCTTATTTCTCTCTGCCCTTAACTGACACTTTCCAAAATAATACCCCCAAATAAGAGTCATAATGTATTAACTAAGCACCATCTGCTCCACAAAAACTGCATTAAACCTAGAACTCAGGCAAACATGCAGGTGAAGGGGTTGACTGAAGGTAACTGCTTTCGCAAGCCAAGTCCCTTCTGCCTACAGAAATCTGGACCTTATGCACATTGTAATTTCCACACATTTTATATACGTAGCCTGGAAGAATACAGATTATTCTATACAGTGGTGGGCATCAGTTAATTCATGTAATCATGCCCTTAATTTAAGGGCTATGTAGCATATGCATTTTTTAATTACATTGTAGCTTTTCACCAAGGAAAAGAAATCTTGATAAAAACACATTCTCTGTGTTTATTTTTTTGCCTCTACTACCCAATGCCAACTGAGGATATTTGCTATTAGAAGTAAAGTTCATTTAATCTCCTTCTTCCCATATTCCTTCTTCTTTTCCAGGAAAGAGTTCCAGGTCCCCATCAGATATACACAGTACTAGCTGGAGCAGAGAAAAGGAAAAGTTTATTCATACTTCAGCTAGAACTCATATAAACAGGCCAAGGCATAAAATGCTGATCTAATGTGTATGTGGATTCATACTGAAACACTGCACTATTTTACACCAGGATATAAAAGAATACACTATGTTGTGAGATTTGATTTTATTAAAGGCTTGAATCCATTTATAAAATGCTGAATCCACTTCATTTGTCTTATTTTGTAAATACTTCAAAGCTTCCTACAGAAAACCCTAATCAAGTCTTAGAGTTTGAACACATACAGTTAATCCAATCTGAATACAAGAGGTATTCTTTTAACAGTTATATATACCATCTACAGCACACAAGGAGATGCCTAGGACACTGCCCACATTCATATTGTTCTTTCCGTGGCAAAGGAATACCATGCATTTCCCAGAAAAGACAATTCACTGCATCAAAAAACTTAAGAAATAAGCACCTTAGGGATGGAATTAAACTAATTTAAAAGTTAAAATAACAGCTATATTTAAAATAATAAAATTAGTGACCTGAGCAACTACAGGTCCACTAGTAGGACCTCACTGTTAGTGAGGTTTAAAGGAAGATGAACTAAAAGCATGGAGATAAAAGGAAAATGTGATTAAAAAAATGCAACTGTTATTTAATAAAAGTAGATACGATGCAAAATCACTCTGATATATGCTCTTTTACAGGTTTACATTACCTAGACAATCAGTTAATCAGTTGAATTTAACTGGACTGTAAATATCTGACATAGTGCTATATAGTAAAT